TTCTTTTTTCGTAACTTCACTTCGAGGCTGTACAGTCAAATACTGTTGTAAATTGTCAGGGGACTGACTGACTATAAGGTCAGTTAATCATATGAGTTGGTAGCAAAACCTGTGAATCTACACATCCAGCGAAATAATAAATCACGCATTCTAAAAACAACAGATTATGAGAATCGCTCACGAACGATTACCGTTAAGAAGTAGAGGATGACAGGGGCGCTGAAACAAGAACATTTACAAGTTATTTAAGTAGGAGTTTGGCAGGGAGAAAAAGGAGGAAAATTAAAAAACCGAGTGAATATGGATTACATCATACAAGCCTAAGGAAACCTTCAGAGAAAACCAGTCACACCCAAAGTCACCAGGATACACGAGGAATTCAAAAAATTAACTTCACACTAAGGTTAGCCCTGAACATATTTTCTAGGATGACAACGACACTTTCGAAATCAAACCATTTTTATATTAATAAAACACAATCTTGGTATATTATGGGCAACAAGATTAGCGTCACAAAAGCCTAATGGTTTGTGAGAGAACTGAGATACTGACTGGTTGCCCGAACCGCAGCAAGCATTTATTATAGGCCCCCCTCCAGAGCCTCTGACCCAAAGGCAGTCGTGCAGTGTTACAAGCTACGTCTCTATGTTTGACAGTGACCAAAACAAACTCATATGCTATTAGTTCCTTCCGGATTCTGGAGCCCATGTAACTCATAGGCTCAGAATCAGGATTTTCCAGCTCCCCTACACAGACATGGATGTTCACCAGTCCGGTTTTCAGCACCAGACATTTGAATTCGCTCTTCCACTCTTGTGAGGAACCCGGCCATGTGAAGGCACTGAATAGGACTTACTTGGCAGAGGATATGAACGAGTGGTTAGGACTCTCGCCGACCATGCACATGGTCCGGCGTTCGAACCCCTGCCGACGCAAACCCGATATCTATGGTCGGCCTGCACAATTTGGGCTACCGATATCCATGCTGAGAATTCCATACTTGTACTTATAATACGGTGTGGCATCAAGCTGTAATCAAAATAATAAATAAATAAATAACCGACTCCAACAGCAACATAGCAATAAACTGACTTTTGACTTTATCCGGTTGCATAAATAACAGGCAGAGATCCTCGGGTTCAAGATGACTTCTCATGACTACTATTGCTGGCGAACTCCCAGGGAAATGAGTAAGGGGATGGAGTAAAATCATGGTTTGATTTCGTCAATTTTTATGCAGAGGTATAGAACATGCTCATATAAATACTATTCCCAAATCCTAACGATATACATCGAAGCAATAGTTTCATATTGAGGTATAAGGTTTTCGATTAGTCCCCACATTCTTAATTTGTCAATAAGAAGAAAGGATGACAGAGTGAAGAGAGGTATTTATCACAAGCAAACTATTCAAACTATCGTAGTTTCTGTCCGGTGAAATACGAACAGTTTGATTATGTCACTTATTGAGAGAGTATGAAGAATTACACTTTCTAGGAAAGTGTCTGCATGAAAATGCCTTTATAGGAGGTGGAGAAGACGTCATGGTAATGAAAAGACTGTCAGTTTAGTCAAAGAAAGGTCTGATCCATTGAACTTTTGCAGACAATGATGCAACACAACAAATGAATTCAGAGACTACTTGTTAGTCTTATCAAAACTTATCTGGCTGCTAAATAAACCTGCTATATGTACAGCACTACTGGTGCTCTTTATATCAATCGAAAGTGGATAGGAGGACATCAGAACTCACCTTCAACTCATATATGCATGCCCAAGCAAGTTCATTTGTACACATAAAAAAGATAAGAATCCGCTTGATTCTTTGAACATACTTACTTCTAAAAGCATATGACTTATTCCGCTAACAGTATAGCTCCTTAATTATCGCCTAATGGATATGGCATGCAAGCTGGATGTACCAACTTCAGTTACGAATGAAAAGAGGCGAAAGGGTCCAATCTGATTTCGTGCTGATGAATCATTTGTTACCAAGCTAATTCAAATCATTCCTTGTATACAAAATGACACTTACTAGTCTCAAGCTAATTTGAGAACTTTATACTTAACAAGATGAAATCCTATAACCAATCAACCAAATCCCTACAAACCAATACTTGAATAACAATGAGATGCTCACTGGCGACTGGCCCTATTCAGGTAGGTAGTTACCTGGGGTTCCAGTGGGAAGTCGTGACCAGTAGGGTGCAGCAGGTCGGGTGTGAGGACAAATACTCGCCGAAGACATTGGCTAGCGGTTGCGCTATATCGTGAATTGACAGAAGTTAGAATTCATGGGCCATTGGATCGGGTCCCAGTGGCTTAATGGTATACGAGCTCGCCTTGTAACCAGAAGGTCCTGGGTTCGAACCCCGGTGGGTGCGTACTGATGAAGAGTCCCAAACTAGGACGAAACAGCTGTCCAGTACTCCCAGGTTTTCCATTGTCAGTTCATGATGAAATCCTGTAACCAATCAACCAAATCCCTACAAACCAATACTTGAATAAGATGTTTTCTCCCTTTGACCTCTTGGTCTTAACCGACTAATTTCATACCAAAACTCACTACTATTAGCTGTCTAATATGTTATTACCCAATTTGCTTCCAGTTGTCTTCCTGAGTAAATAATGTCTCGTTGTAGGTCATCTCTGCTAGAGAAAAACTTATGATTAGCTAATTTCTGTATCACTTGTAGTGATTATGTCATTCATTCATCACTCCACTTGTTGTTTTATCAAACCTTGATTTCCGTGTCTAGTTCTATTCGATGGAGAAAATATATACCCTCAGTTACTAATCCCATAAATACTTTGCGCTGTCTGTAACTGAAGCGAAATAAAAATGCACAAATTTTATGAATTAAGTCTTGTTCTCAAGTAGTTAAACTCTAATGAAAAACTGTTGTGAACACCCTAAGAGATATGCTATGACATTGGTAGGCTCAACTTCCGAAAATAACAGAAAAAGACGATAGATAGATAGAGACATGAAACCGAAAGTAAACAGTGAAATATTTTGTTTAAGAAAAGTAAGGATACTGACACCCACATTAATCTTTCTTTTAAGTTAAAGAGTAATTCCAACAGACAAATTAAACCAGGAGGCTTTAGGTTACCAGTGGGACATGAAAGGAGGCGACGAGTTTGGCGGAGATCGCATGGTGACATGGAGGAGATCGTGGAGCAAGCTGCAAACGACTGACTGCAGTGAATACGATGAAACGGAGATGTGATGTTGAAGCCTCGTGTTCCACTCGGAACCTAAGAGAATAATTATTAATAACAAAACAATCTATGGTGATACTACAGTTCAGTTGATGTAGGCGAACCGTGAATTCCGTCTGTTTTCGACATAGAACTTTTCACATATGTGTGGCAGTTCAAGTCGCCACACTCCCTCCTTGTAGCACACAAAGCAAGAGAACAAAGTAGGAGAAATGCATAATATAGACAGTAAACAGAGGTGTGAGACAAAGGTATAGTAATAACGAAGAACAAAACAGTTTAATTGGAAATCATAAGTCACAAGGAGTGGATGCATCTGCGCCAACCATTGACAACGATTTTGAGCCATGTCACCAATTGTTTCCAACCATTGGTTTTTACCGTCCCGAGGACCCCAACCAGTCAGGAAGTCTACACCTTCCTACGTGACTGGCTTAGACTAACTGTTGTAGATTTCATTGACTGGTGCCATGTTTTCGTTTGACCGCCACTAGCTCTTTTCCAGCCTGACTCTATATCAGCTAACATCGCCCGTCGAGGAAGGCGATGACTAGACATGCGTACGTAACACATGTCCTAACCATCTCAGTCGATGTAATTTCACAGTCTCGTCGACTGATTTCCCCTCCTTACCTAGCACTCGACGGATGCCTAACCTCAATATTGCTCACCTTATTATACCACTTCACGCGGGAGATAGAACGCAGACACCTATGATCGAAGACAGCTAATCTTTTCATGTCTTCTGCTCTCAATGGCCAGGTCTCACAGCCATAAAGGAGGACGGAGCGGACTGATGAGCAGTACACACGCCTTTTGGTCGATAGCCAGTCGGATATCACGTCTACGCCAGAGACGGCGTAAACTGGCATATGCGAAACTAGCCCTCTGTATTCGTGCTGAGATTTCGTCAGAGATCAACCCGTTGGGGCTGATGGTACTTCCCAAGTAAGTGAAGCGGTCAACGTGCTCTACCACTTCACTTCCTATTTCTAATCTAGGAGTCGGTGTAGTCCAATCCTGCAACATCATCTTACATTTTACAGGGGTGAATCGCATGCTAAACATACGAAGATTGCATCTCAAGGTTTCAGCGTCCTCGCCTAGGAGGACCGTGAATTCTAATTAAAGACAATTGGAGAGAATACCACCTAACCAACCGAACGTTTCATTTTTTTTGAATAATCATAAATCAACCTGACCATCAATCTGATCCAGCACTATTTTTTTACACAAAAATCTACCACACACAACACATGCAGCAAAGCGAAATTATATTTCATTCATTCTTATATCAACATATTAGAAGAAGGATGAGGTCATTTTGTATATTAGATAGATAGATATATGTATATAACAGAAATATTAGCTGACTCTGTACAGTACAAGTAAGAAATTCAAAACAAAACAAAACAAAAAGAGAAGACAAGAGAAACAAGAAACCTGAAACTAAGTGTTAATGAATGTGTGATAAAAGCAAACAAAGTAAACTTCCTTTGTTCTTTTCTCCAAAAAGCACACAGATACATACGTGCTCGTGTATACTAAATAATTATAATAATAATAATAATAAAGATAGTAATAATATTAATAATTTGACGAAAGAAACCAAAGTCAAAAGGATTGATTATCAAAGTAAGAGTCATAGGCAGATTAAATACCTACCGTCAAATTATTTTTTCTTGGGGTGTTTATTTTTATTGTGATACATGCACACACGCGCACAAAGAGACTCAAATGATCATAGGGAGCAATTGAGCAAAAGGATGGGAACAACTCAAATTCTTCAACAATTCAACAAATCTCTTAGGTGTAAGAATAAAACACAATAAAAAATGTACAATAATAATAATAACCATTATCATATTAATATTAATGATAATATTAGTAGTAGTAATAATAATAATATTGATAGGAATTAAAGACGGTATCCAACTGAATAAACAGGCATGTATATATATAATGTTCAACATTAGAGAAGTTAGCGTGTTGTGTGTGTACGCCCCTATAACATCAATATATCATGCAATCATCAAAGCCAGCTTTTGACTAGATAGGAAAAGCTGTCTTGAAAACACAAACAAACAAACAAACAGTCATCCAAGCAGACCGACAGAAAGGTAGATAAGAGCTGTTTGACAATTATTAATTAAATAAACAACACCGAAAATTTAATCTGACAACAACACACGCACTGATTTTGACTCAATCTTCATACACACACACACACATATAGTTACACGTATATAGGGGCAAAACATAACTGACACTTTTTTGCATTGACAAGAAAAACCACGCATAAAAAAAGGGGAAATCTAAGTACTTGTACTCGTGTTGTGTTTGTTTGTTTTTTGTCGACGCAGTAGTAAATGATAAGAAGCTGCAGTAAATGACAGCGATGAACAAGGGATGGTAATGAAATTATTATTATTATTACTAATAATTAATATTATTATTATCATTGTTATTTTTATTTTTATCATCATTATTATTCACCTGACGACGCCTCGATTCTTGTAGTAGTAGTTTTAAAAGCACAAAAATTGAAAGTGTGAAATTTTGAGGTGATTTATAATTTCCCTTTGGCCTTAGCTCCACGCGGTGGAGTTATAGGCCGACTACCCGTTGGAACTCCAACATAGTACTTTTTCTTTTCAGCTGGACGTAAAATCTAAATTGCAAAAAGCAGAGGAGGCAAACATCACATTACATACAATAAAGTAAAAAAATATAATGGATGGATACTACTATTACATAAATAAGGACTTGATTACACTTAAGAAGTGAAGTGTTTTCGTTGTTTGTTTTTTTATTTTTACAGTTGTGTTAGTGACTTTCAGTCCTAATGTTACGAAATTACAGCTTCTCCTTGAATAAGACCAAAATAAATTCGGGAGTATATACGTCTGAGATTTGCTATCTGAAAGCAAACACAAGTGGCACACGTTCAAAGGCTAACGTCAAGTTAGTTAGTTATAAAGGAAGCGACTATATGAGTAGAAATTGGGCAGTATGATAAATTAAAATTCTACAACGTGGATTGATTTAGTAAAACCCACACACACACCGGTGGCATAGTGGTTAGGACGCTCGCCGACCATGCACATGGCCCGGGGTTCGATCCCCGGCCACAGACGCACTCCTTTACCTCGCTAAGCCAGAAATAATGCTGGTGAAGAGGAAAGGTTGGGCATGAGGCTAGCAACCCCATCCTGTAAAATAAACACTGCTACAGAAACACACACACACTAACACAAATTATTGCTTCAAATCTGATCAGATTGTTTACAGTCGCTAAGATAAAACTTTTACAGTCAAAGTGAGGAAGGAAAATGCGGATACCGAAGTACACAGTTCGGTCCAAATTGATCAGAGGAAAAACAAACCACCAAAACAGATAGTGCTAGTCTGTTTACTCAGACCTAAACACATGCTATAAAGTAGTAGGCGGCTTCGCAGCACAAAACAATTACTGATATGACATTGTAGAAGGCTTACGACACTATTTTTCTCATCATACTGTTCACGCACTACAGACAGAACAAAGCTAAGGTTAGACTTAATTCTAGGCTGGAGTGAACCAATTTAAAACATCATCATCATAAATTAGTCTTTTCTTGATGACCTTCGCGACAGCCTTTGTTAGTAGAGCATAACAACCAGGTCTAAAATGACTGTTGCCGGGCACCTGTTTCTTGTTTCATATCATTTAGTATAGTCTAACATAATGAAACTACTCCTCCATACTTTCATGCATGTCTAAGTAAGCATGTAAATGCAGTTTCAATGCTAATTCAATGCTAATTGCAGAAATCTGTAAAGAGGGGACTCTGCCTTGAATTGCCACACATTGAATTAGTACACGAAACATAGAAACATGATAATTAACTTGGAACAAAGTATACAGGCTCAGAAAAATAACTAGAATTTCGAAAATACAACCGCGTCACTTTTATTGTCTTCGACCAATGTTACAACACTTCTGAGAGTACAACTAAAAACAACTCAAGGAAACCAGTCAAACAATATATACTACACCGTTCAAGTGAATAATCAATATAGATTCAGTATTTCAGATAGCGCCTTAGTTTGTTCGCTCATAGCTTTACTTAATAATTTACCTGATTCCACGTTGAACGTTCATTATTATTAGCTGGTGTTCGTGGATATACTTACCAACTCTCTATTACTACATTCTTTCTCACCTAACTCATGATTTCCAACAGTCGACTTTTATCGGAACACTTTATAGTGAAATCTTTTTGTAGGTCTTCGTAGCAACACAAGAATGTGTATCGTTTTAAAACTTTCGAAAATTCATGTGTACAAAAGGGCATATAAATACTTGTCTAGCATTCTCACACCATTCAGACTTTCGAGGGTCACAGCTGTACTCCCCCTTATATACATGTCACAACTGCAAACCAGTAACTTTTAAATATAGTCTTTTGTATGAGAATTACGGCTTGTAACAAGAAAGTAATCACGAACAAGGAGCCGGATACAGTCATAAGAAGTGACAAAAAATTTTGCAAATCATTTATAACTAGGTAGTTTTTCGATTGAAATTCAAGCTTTCTCAATATATCTTGCTTGCATTCTAAATACCTTTAAGTCCCTGCCTATGAAGTGCTTTGTTACAATAATGGTCAGCATAAAATGCGCGACTGATAATGAATTTTCAATCTTCCTTACCTGAAATGAGCACAATAATGTATCATCTACAGACATCATAGCTCCAGCGTTATCGAATTCACCACAATAATTCGGGGCGGAGAAAAGTGTCACCAACTGACGTTTTGCGAAAAATTCATAACCATCTTCGACAACCTAAAGTGGTAAACGAAAAAGATTCAATGTTTACCTGATGAGCACGACATATCAGGTCCAAATCGTGTTTATGCAAAAATCTGGCTACAATATCTGGACCGAATGTATAACTGACACCACGATCATTTTCACCCCAACCAGATACATCTTTGTCTGGGTCTGACCAGAGTAAATCGCAAAGTAATCCCTGCTCAGGTACATCTGTGGGACGCATAATGCGTCTTATTTGTTCCATTGTCGAAAGATCTGGTGAGAGACCTATAAAGAAGATATCAAACACAATACAAAAACTAACCGCCATGACAGCAAAATATTTTTTCATCGATTATTGCTACAATTGGTAAGCAGTTGAAACAGTCTGTGAAGGTTTTCCACAACTTTATGTTATATCGACGTTTACACTCATCATAGAATCCGTATATACGGTTGATTGAGGCACATTCATGATTGCCTCTTAATAAGAAAAAGTTTTCAGGATATTTGATTTTATAGGCTAGTAGTAAGCATATTGTTTCAAGAGACTGTTTTCCTCTGTCCACATAGTCACCCAAAAACAGATAGTTTGCTTCAGGAGGAAATGCTCCGTATTCAAATAGTCGAAGCAAGTCGTAGTATTGACCATGAATATCACCGCATATTTTCAGTGGAGCTTCTAATTCTAACAAAATTGGTTGACTGAGAAAAATCTCGCGGGATTTCAGGCACAGTCCTCGGATTTCTGCTTCGTTTAGTTGCACATTTTTGCCAGGACGGATTCGACGCACTAAAACGTACAAAAAAGAATAAGTGAGTGTATTAAAAACAGTTGGTAAGAACTTGGACTATAATGGAAAAGAACTCAAGTCTCAAGATGATCAACAACATGTAATTTAACAAATTTTTCTTTATTTTAAGAGATACAATGCGAACAGTACTCTGCAAAGATTGATGATACAATTCATTTGAGTAAAAAAATTAACGGACCGCTAGTTAGACTCTTTACACAAATCCAAGTAAGACAGCAGATTCCAGTGCATATGTAATCAGTCAATCCACAATATAAACTCTAAATACATTTAACAGAACCGAAGAAAACGAGTCAGAAGGTTACGCTGGTAGTAAATGACATCCACATGGTCGAAATCAAGGAAAATGCTTGGTACATTCTACGTTGACAAACAATATTTTCCACCATATGTTCATGTTTCGAACATTTTATTAGGCTATTCAATTAACTTAAGTACCAAATCAAAATAGAATAACTTTTGAAGGAGAAGCGATTTTAAGGCGCAGACATAGTCACAAATTTCAGTAAGACAATCCACTTCAGCCATCTTCCGAAACAGAGATAATATAATCAAGAAACCGATTACTATATTTCAAGTGTTTTGAAGTAATGCTTTATCATATAAGAAAACCGATACATCATTAAATTTATGGGATCTAAGATTTAGTGAGTGAAGAAGTGGTTCATTGGCTTGGGCACTCAGCCTTCAGCCAGTGAGTCTTGGGTAAGTTCCACGTCACCTACTTCTGTTTGGGTAACTGGGTAGTATCATAAGCCCTAAGACAATTGTGTGGCCCATAACCTGGTACATGAAACACACGTTTCAGATAACTGAGTCTCAACAACAAAATCTTGTAAAGTTCACTACAAACCATATGTAAAAAGCAGGTTCTGATGGTCAGACCTTCACTAGATTGACTGGATCGCTAGTTAGTGCATAGAATTCATTGAAGTGCAAACTCAGTACACTACGAGTACCAAGTGACGCACAACCCAAGCAACAGGGTCACAGTATCGAGAAAACCAACACGGTTGAGAAATGACATAATGAAGCGCGTAAGCATACTTCACAAGTATATTCGAAGAGTTCATTGCTTTCTATCATTCTAAGTAGAAGAAACAAGGACATTGACACCGTTATTTAACAATACCTTACAATGTCTAATTATATTGAGTCGCATCCTGTACAAATGCAAGTTGATGGAGTCCTCATCCTTCACATTTAAGGAACACAGGAATATTATTACAGTGTAAGAGCACACGGAGGTTCATCGACTGGATTGGTGGTGCGAATCAAAGATGTATCCTACTCTTGTCATTCAACAACTACTTGCGATTCCATGCAAGTGGCGATTAACCACACATATTGCATGAGGGTTAGTGATTCTACCCGACAGTGCACACCTCGGTAGGTAAAGCATGTTTTAAACCCTTGAAATGTTAGTTGGGAGTGCAGCGCCTAGATCGATGAACCACAGGACGAGTGACGTTGGTTACGGATGCTCAATCTTACTGCTGTTGTTGAGCCTTGTTATGGAGAAAATAAAGTGTGGTCATGTGAATTCGACCTTTCGGGAATATATTTGTTATCAAAAGATGTAGTGGATTAAAAGTATGCAGCAGGCAAGATATTTTAGGTAAAGACGCAGACAGTATACAATTTTCTGAAAAAAAACTGGACAGGAGAGAAAGTACCAAAATATTTAAGGCATTCAGGGCTTTGAAGACCACTGGAATCCAGTAAGTTCGAATGTAAGCAGTTTTGGTTGAATATGATGGATGCTTCGCGTTTAAACTAATAACCCAAACAGTTATACTAGTTGGAATGAATACTTATGGTGCTACTAACATCCCAATAATATCAAATGGATAACAATAAATTGAAAAGCTGTTTAAGCCCATACGTTGTTATGGGAGAAAAGTTGGTATTACATAGGATATACAGGGTGATCGAAGCAAAATGTCATTAAATGTTAAAAATTAAGACCGAAACAAGGTTGAGTTGAACAAGTCTCCTTCGTATGAAGAGTCCCAATGTTTCTACCAAGATAAATACATATTAAGCAATACTGAGTGGGATACGCAGACTTCTCAGGAAGTTAAGTCAGAAATAATGACAAAACCACATCCAATTAGCATACTAGTTAGATGTATACTGCATTCTCATATAAACCATACAAGTGGACTTGAGTAGAACGACGTAACTTCACTATATCTTGGTCAGTAAATAGTATATTCAGGAACTGGTTGTTTGGACTGACTGCTTATTATACTATCTTCTAAACGAATAGAAATCATTGTATTTTGTCAATATGGAAGAAATTCAAAATTCACCCTCTGGAAATTCGATGGTGAAATTAAGTAGACTTCAGGATATTTGTATAGCATCAGCTCTATAGCAGATAGTTAACTGATTTACCACATTACAAGGAGATCGCTCTCTGTCACTCGGCTTAATCTATTTTCCGATAACACCGCTGTATTTATCTCGGGAACTAATTCTCCGGCAAGTGAAGAACAATGCCTCAGAATAAGCGGACGTCATGATTTTTTAGGTGAAAACGTCGAGAATATTTAGTTTGCAAAATATCCTAAAAAACGCGGAAATATCTGCCAAGCAAGCCATCCGTGCTAACTGTAAGATGACTATAAAAGTAGTTAGCACCAAATAGTACTTTTAGAATGTCCAGTTAAGTAGAATATGATGATAGTTTCACTACTTAGAACTGATTACCAGCAGAAATCTGAACCTTTCATGCTAATGCGAGACACAGCTACACAAACAACGAAGATGCTTTTGTTAAGTTGCTTACACTGATTGGGACGAGGAAAGTAATTTTAACACTAGGTACACTACTAACTAAATAATGGGAACCGACCAGTGTGATAAAACCCAATGCAGCCTTATGGACAATTGAGCAGAGATATTGGAATGCTTGGCATGCGATTCGCTCCTGACAAGTATCAGATGATGCAGGGCTGGTCTTCACCAACTCCCAGTTTAAAGATAGGAAATGAAGTGTTCGAGCGTGTTGACTACTTCACTTATTTGGGAAGCTGCGTCAGCCGTAATGGACTGACTACAGAAGAAATCTCAACACGCGTACAAGAGTTTTGTGTGGCGACTGCCACCTAACGCCATCTCTGGCGTACACGTGATATCCAACCATCGACCTAAGGACGTGTGTGCTGCAAAACAGTTCCCTTTGTTCATTATGTCAGTTGACAGAAGGTTCCGGATCTCCCGTCTTTATTACGTAACCGCTTTGTCCATTATGGCTGTTGAAAGGTGAAGATATGAAGAGGCTACCTGCATTTAACCGCATTTATTCACATCCTCTCTCATGTGTTAACTTTGAGGTTAACATGCTCAGTAATATTGACTCTAGGCATAGAGTTCGGTAAGCCAATAGATGAGGCGACATTGAAATAGCCAAGACATGTGTTGCGCACACTACCACCTTCCTCGTCAAATATAGTTAGCTTACGTAGGATTAAATTGTAAGACAGTTAGAGGAAGTCAAATGAATACGCTGCATCGTTCTACGGAGTATATGACTACTGGTCTGAGTCGACCATGTAAAGACGGTCGGTTTTCGACATAGAACTTTCCATATATGTGCGCCAGTTCAAGTCACCACACTCCCTCCTTGTAGCACACAAAGCAAGAGAACAAAGTAGGAGAAATGCATAATATAGACAGTAAACAGAGGTGTGAGACAAAGGAATAGTAATAACGAAGAACAAAACAGTTTAATTGGAAATCATAAGTCACAAGGAGTGGATGCATCTGCACCAGCCATTGAGAACGATTTTGAGCCATGTCACCAATTGTTTCCAACCATTGGTTTTTACCGTCCCGAGGACCCCAACCAGTCAGGCAGTCTACACCTTCCTACGTGGCTGGTTTAGACTAACTGTTGTAGATTTCATTGACTGGTGCCATGTTTTCGTTTGACCGCCGCTAGCTCTTTTCCAGCCTGGCCCTATATCAGCTAACATTGCCCGTCAAGGAAGGCGATGACTAGGGATGCATACGTAACACATGTCCTAACCATCTCAGTCGATGTAATTTCACAGTCTCGTCGACTGATTTCCCCTCCTTACCTAGCACTCGACGCCTAACCTCAATATTGCTCACCTTATTATACCACTTCACGCGGGAGATAGAACGCAGACACCTATGATCGAAGACAGCTAGTCTTTTCATGTCTTCCACTCTCAATGGCCAGGTCTCACAGCCATAAAGGAGGACGGAGCGGACTGATGAGCAGTACACACGCCCTTTGGTCAACAGCTAGCCGGATATCACGTCTACGCCAGAGACGGCGTAAACTGGCATATGCGAAACTAGCCCTCTGTATTCGTGCTGAGATTTCGTCGGAGATCAACCCGTTGGGGCTGATGGTACTTCCCAAGTAAGTGTTTTTAGGGGTCGGTGAAGTCCAATCCTGCAGCATCATCTTACATTTTACAGGGGCGACCACGTAAACAGGTGTTGGTTGTACGCGGCTTGGCCACGTCGCCTTTATACAATGGGAGTTAACACGCTGTTACTCCACAGAACAAACTGGAGCCACAGGGGGTACCTCAAATTCTTTTGAACGAAACCTGCTGTACATCACTGAGCTGCATTTAACAAGAACGTAGCTGACAAGACCAGGTACGGCCTTAGTTGACAGACATCAAGAGAGAACCTGTATTCACCTAACAGTAGATAACATAAAAATTAAAACCCACCAGGTTAATATCTATCATGATCTGTTAATTCAATGAGTGTATAAGCAGCTTTGGTAAATGTGGACGACTTGGCCAAGCTTCAGGAAGTATGTGTAAAGCAGTCTGACTACACCCTAATCGACAAAAAATGATGAGTTACATTGTCTGTGGTCCTGGTATTTCCTGTGCGACTTCAGAGTATGGTCTAAGGTCTCAACAAAAAGCGGCAGCAGGTCTTCAGAACCAATTAAACATTCAGAGGTTTCGTGGCGATTCGCGACACACCGCACACCTAACAGCCTAAAGTCGTGTCCAACTAATATTCACATCTCATTATCATCCGAATCAGGCGTAACCTAAGCATTTGTTAACAGCCTTAGACAGTGACCTGAAAACTGCACCAAACACGTGCGTTAATCGACAAACTGCTAACCCGAGTGCATAGATTTAATGCTTAGACTGTGCACTGGTAACGGTTTTCAGTTGCACTCGACCTATGTGTGCTTCACACAATTCCCAATCCCTCCTCCCACTTCATAAAGCCTCGTTTTTACACCTTTCAACCATCTTAATCGTCACTATATTTATTACCATACTCATCCTTTTAAATAACATCCTATACGATGAAAAGATTATCTGACGGTACAGGACAATGTCTTTGTACAGTTTATCAAAATAGACTGCAAAATAACTTTCGAATCTAAACATCGGCCTTAAAGTCTATCAGAGCCAAAACACATAAATTCTGGGTGATGATGCAGAATTTCACAAAAGACCGTCAACCATCTCATCACCATCAAGAGGAGTAATGTGATCTACAGCATATATATAAATATATATGTAGATGACAGTCAAAAGCCATCTGTCTCTCAGTGAACCTTGTCACATTCTAATTATTCGAGAGACTCAAAATTTCCAAAAATTGCAGAAACCGACAATATTAGTAAATTCGACATCACCGTGACACGAACAATTTCAGACTTATGGTGATATCCTCATACGAAGCCATATGTGTGATCAAAGAACAACGTGTCACAAAACACAGTGCATTACGAAGTGCCACATACTTACCCTCCAGTAATCTGGCAATAATACTGTCAATATTCATTTTATCATCCCCGGCCATCGTTACACAAGCAAAATCGAAACCAACTTAAAAGTCCCGGCCAAACCTGTGAGTTCAACAACTCAAAATTGTTAGCACTTATAACTCAGAGTAGTGAGGTAATCTGAGTACGAGAATGGGTATTTTTGTAGAATAAAGTAAGAATAACGTATTTATATATGAACGAGAACTTCTAAATTTCGGGAAAGCATTAGCAACAGACAAATAATTTTCAGATTTCAGATTTATTGGTTGAGGATGGAAGGCTTGGAACCTATGTTAATCCTTTTCTAGTAAATTTCTATGCTTGTCCAAACCCTTATTGATTGAGTCAGTTGAATTTACAGACACCACTTCTTCTGGGAGTCGGTTCCAAAAGTTTATGACTCAGTGTGAGAACCAGTACTCAAAACAACATGGTTTCTTCTTGGCTTTTGAACTCTCCTGCTATGTTCTCTAAGGTGTTCTTGACTGTTGGGAAGGAAAAGAAAGAATAGGTCGGGTCCGTAGTCATAAATTAAAGTTTTAAACATTGTGATTCAATCTCCTCGCTACCCACGGTATAACAGGGAGAAGAGATTTAGACTATCTAGTCTTTCCTCGTATGATAAATTAGTCATGCCGGGAGCCTTACATGTTGCCTTCCTTTGAACCCTTTCTAGAATGTGTGAGTCCCCTTTAAGAAGAGGACTCGCTGCCTGGATACAGTTTTCTAGTCTTGACCTCACCAGAGATGAATATAAAGAGGTGAACATATCTCTGGTGATTTTGGTAGAGGCTCTGCAAATTGCCCATAAGGATCTGAAACTACTTGCAGCCACCGCGCGATAATGTGCTGTAGTTTTTAAATCGTGGCTAACTATGACACCTAAATCCAAATGAGTCTGAACTGATGGCAGTATTACTCCCCTTAGTTCGTAGGAGCTGATGCCTGCATGTTCGATGCGCATGGTTGCACATTTCGCTACATTGATCGGGAGCATCCATTCTCTGGACCACTCTGACAATTTGTTGAGGTCTTCAATCTTATATTTCAATTTATTTTCAGTTATTCATTTAAGTTCAGTCGTCAACTTCAGTGGAAAGTCAATACACTCAAAGTGTTTTTCTTATCCAACTTTGAGGGTGAACCTGATTGTCTTTTTGTGTGGTAGATATACGTAAACTATGGTGTCTCGACTAATAATTTATCATTTCCAATGATTTTCACTATGTGAATTGCTCTTGTTTCGTCGGTTTTATTCTAGTATGAACGATAACCTTTTCCGAATTTACTTGTTCGGTCATTAACAGTTACTTTCCCCAATCGAAAGAAGATATCTGAGTACTGCATTAGCACTACGGTCAACGAATACACGTGTCATAAGCACACATGACAATAAAATTCTAACCATGATGTATCTAACTGAAAGTTCGTCCTCGAGACACTGCCTACTTCAGTGTTGGTTTAGATTTTCATCAGCACTACGAACTGCCTGATGATGCAAAAGCTACGCATTCCCTAAAGACCATTGGCGAACACAGACGCTAGGCGTTCTACTTGAAGGCTCTATGATTCTTGGGGTTATATTTAGCGGTGATTCCTCTTATGCTAAATTATCATCAGTCTTCACAATTTTAACACGGCTGATATAATCAACTACTGAAGTGGTGTATCTTACCACCCACTACAATTTCACATGATCGAGAAATCACACAGATTAGATCATGCTTAATTGCAGACGGACAAGAAAGAGCTTGGCAGATTATTAGAATTTTGGAGAGTTAACCCGTTAGGCGGAACATTGCAATAGCGGCTATAGGTGATACCAGAAGCAATAGAACTGACAAGCAGGCCGTCCCTCACACATGATTTTATCACATATCAGGTACCAGATATTCTTCAAAAGTGATTTTGTTCGACATATTACCATGCACTACCCATCATGTATCTTCACACCTTTAAGAATGATCGGACCATTAGAGATGCCATAATTGTAACTGGCAAAAGAGAAATTAAAAACAAACCAAAACAGACTGAAAATTTCTCAATTACTTCAATTTGTTTTACTCGACAAATCTTTACAGTTCACACATCATGGACAACTGGGCAAAGTGCACCCAATAGTACCGCAAGAGTAATTTATCAAGGTTAGCTACTACGTGTTTGTTATGCACACATTATTTAGTGTGTGAAGTGATGTACAGAGCATGTCGCAATAACATACTTATGTCAAAATAACCAACCAGAAACCGTTTGCACGCTTCAAAACGACTTAGGAATGAAGTGCAGGACTGTTAGCCAGTGTGTCAGTGGTTCAGTGATAGAATACTCCCCAACAACGCACGTGGTCCGGTTTTCTACACCCCATCAACGCACTCCTTAATCGCTCTGAGCCGATATTAGGCCTGGTAAAGAGAAGTGGCTTTACTGCATATTCTCGCTAATTGCAGCGATAATGTCCATTGACAGAAGTTATACATTTATATTCTTTTTAAACGAAATTTTATGTTGAGAAACCTTCAAAATGTACGTAATATCGGGTGCACAATGTACATGAGCTGCGTTACGTCTGATGCACTTGTATCAAGAAATGTTACTTGATGCAGACATCTGCGCAATGTAATGGATTTATTGAGGCAGTAAGTTAAAAATCTGGGTGACTCTAAGCTATAGCGACCCCAAATGAAAATTCTTGATGGATGGATTAATGGAATTGAGCAGCCAGTGAGATGAGTCCGTAGAGAGTAGAGGAAATTATGGATGTTGTACACAGATTACGTAAGAAATTTCATTCAAATCTACTATTTGAGTACTACCTAGACAACAGGATCATTGGGAGGGAGAAAATGTGCAGCCAACTGCCATCTCTGGGCTATGTTCGTAACGCAGTCAGTCATGCAGACAACTTTATTAGTCCTAGAGTTACCTAAAAAGAGGATCAGAGAGGTAGATGAATCAAGAAACACTATGATTCACCGTTACCTCGATGAAATTTAACAGAGGAATTGGATAAACCTATAAGGAGGTTTTTTAACACACTATGACGCTATGTCGCATAACTGCATTTTAACATGTCGTTACTTATATAAATGTACTTTTAAAATTACGCACTTTTACTACGGGCACATCTGGTTGGATGGTGGGGATTTGTGAAGGTCTTTATTGGATGGCTTCTCTTTGGGCCGCTATAGTTTACAGTCACCAAAATTTGCACGTATATATTTGAATTTTCATAGAATCATACCGGTAAATTCGACCTATTTGTTGAAACGCTATTGTCTTAACTGGTTTGCTAGTTGCTGGTATTCACGGCACAATTTCAGCATTAATTTCAGTTTCAGTTTACTCATCAAAGTCTGCACAAAGCATTAGCACTATGAGCACGATGTGAAGCACTGTTATGAACTCGTTCTTCAAGTGGCTTTTATTTTGAGGATAGATTTAATTGCTATGAAATTCCAACTTCATAGGCATGACCTAGACTCATCCGTGAAAAAAGATTATTATCTTAGCTGCAATAAGGATAATTTGTTCAGAAGGTAAAGAAGACTTCTCAGTTTATTCGTACAAATACTATTGCGCATCGAAGTGCTCTGCAACTTCACATGAAGCAAAAGATTATAAATGTCGTGCTCATCTCTTCAGAATAAGAAAGTTGATAACACAGGAATGGCTTCACGAGATTCTAATATTAGTTCAGTAAGGACGAATTGGAATTTCTTCACTTCCGTGTTGAGTTAAGTTGTGAACTTTGCAGGAGCCTACAATAATACATCTGATATGACATCTACATGATGAAATCAAAATGATACAGGTTTACTAAATTTTATGCATTTCCTGTGTAGGTGTGATGTTCATCAAGTGGTCGCCTAACAACTGCTTAAAGGTAGAATAAAGGGGGAGACAACAACGAGAGAAAGCTTAGACTTTTGCTGCCGTATCATACGGCACCCATTACTTCTGCCTTAAATAAGTTATCTCCAGTACGAAGTATTTTTGGTCCAAAAATCAAAACTTCTTCAGCCAGGTAGTATATCATCCTTTCTCATGAACCATGTGGTTTATCTTGTGATGCAGCTACCTTGTTGATCTATCTTTTCTCATGTGTACTGTGATTTAGTGTTTGATCACTTCATCGTCTTTTGCCTCACCTTGGTTTTGTCGATTCGCCAAACAATGAGAATAGCAATTGCCGGCCAATAAGAACAATCCATTCCCACACCTGTGATCCGACTTTATTATTGTAAATAAAACGTATAAATATCATGTGTTGTATCCTAAAATGTACAATACAATATTTTACAATCACAGACCAGCCTTTGTCTTTTGATATTTGCGTGGCTCAGTGGATCGGAAGGTGCAAGGGACAAATAGTCGCATTAACTTACCAGATGAGTTCACTAAGGTAATAATAATTAGCAGGAGCGGACATGACAGAGTAGCGACTTAGTTTATTCAGTCCAGCTCAGTTTTAACAAAAATGTCAAAACGACACTCCCACTAGATGTTGTCATTCGAAACGTCTGCAAGCAGTCTTTCAATACATCTACTTCCCACAAAGCTCTTGTTACGAAGCCCTAAGATTATTCACATTTGGATTTATCACAATTAATATGCTTATACCACTGATACAACGACATGCAAGGCTTGTACATTATACTGTGAAGTTTGCCTGTGATAACATTCCCTAAATAGTAAATGCAATGCTTGTGATAATAATTCGTCATTATCTTCTCATTGTGTTGATAGGTGCGTATATATAAAAAAGTTGACCTCGTCTCACTAGTTCCCGAAAATACTTTCACTAAATACTGATACTGGCGGCCTGCTTGAACATAGGGCTACCAAAAATTCCACCTTACAACATTTTGCAAAATTGCTTTGGTTTGCTCTATTAATTTTGTTTTAATTTATTAATAATGTGTCCTAATCGTATTATTTATAATCGCGCATTTTTAAAATCATTACAGTCTACTGCGTTGTGTCGTCCACAAAAAGTGAGAAAAAAGCATCACTGTGGATGGCAGCGTGCACTGAAACGTACACAAATTAATCAAATGACTGTTCCTCAACTCGTTAGCACTAATTGTAGATCCCTGTGCAACAAAATGGATTATCTTCAATCCCTAATGTATTCTAATGTTTATCGAAATGCTGGCGTTTTAGCAATACAAGA